ACCACCATATTGCCATTGTCCCGTGTATTTTTATACTTCCAAGTGTACTTCAAACAGGTCGGAGCCTTGTTTCCTGAAGAAGAAGAATGTCCCTTCCTGTAGCAGCGCCAGCTCACACCTCAGGGTGTCTGGAAAAGAAGTCACAAGAATAACCAGCATGAGCTCACTTTAATGTTTAAGATCTTATCTCCAAAACAATAGCCAGTACTCCATCAGGTCAGAGTCAACAACCATGTTGGATAAAGTGTGTGTGTGTGTGTGTGTGTGTGTGTGTGTTTGTGTGTGGTGTGTGTGTGTGTGTGTGTGTGTGTGTGTGTAGTGTGAGTGTTATAGTGTTTGATTAAAATTTATATATATATATATATATATATATATATATATATATATATATATATATATATATATATATATATATATATATATATATATATATATATAAAATATATATATATATATATATATATATATATATATATATACTATATATATATATATATATATGCTCTCAAAATTTGACTTTAGTCTTAAGTGTAATGATGAATAAGAGAAAATCGAAAACTGCTTTTTTATTTTTTGTTATGATCCACCGTTTTGTGTTTGTCTCTCTTCTGGAAACTGTTAACTCACCTTTGCGCAATTGGCCGTAACGTTCCTTCCACTTAAAGCTGAAGAAATCTCTCATTGGATGCAAGATAACTGCACTAAGTGTACTTCTGTTGAATGCCTCTCATAATTAGTGTTTGTTCAGCTTGTTTGGATTTTTTGCTTCCTTTGACTCTCTCCGCTCTCTCCTGTGCAGTTGCTTCCAGTCCTGACATCTGGCCCAAGAGAGAGAATCCTGCTATTAATCTTCTGTGCTATTTTATTTCCTGTGGAAAGATTTCAGTGGATGTTATGCATGCCCATCTTCCAGTTCACATCTGAAATAACTGCCTTGCATAAATCCCTGTTTACCTCCAAGTGCCAGAAGGTTCAGTGTACACCTGACTCCCAGAAACAGTCTCTGTTTTGTTTCTCATAAATACTGCTATACACTAACAATGCCTCTTCAATACAAAAACAATAGCATGCTTTATGTATGATACACAATGAGGACATTGAACCCATTCGGAGTTTTGAGTCAGATGTTTATGTTATATTATAAATATGATATACATGTGTAATTAGTGAATGCTTAAAGAGAAGAAATGATTTAGTGGTGGAGGAAAATCGTCATAGTGCCACTGTCCAATATATATTTATATTTCCGAGTACACTTCAAGCAGTGTCGCAGTGAAGAAAGCGAGATAAGCATCAGTGTGGAGCCCTGTTTCATAAACAAAAAGTGAGCTCCCACTTTAAAGTTTTAGGAAAGGACACAACAGCAAGCAACAGCATGGCTTCACTTCAATGCTTAAGATCTTATCTGCAAAACAGAGGCTACAGAAATTCCAGATGGCTCAACAGCTACAAAGGTCTAGAAAATGGGGGTTTTATTTTTACATTATGGTTTATTTTGCCATAAAACTTTACAAGAAATATCATCATGTTGATTGCAAAGTATTCTTTTCTTAAGTGAAGTCTTCTTCTTCTTCTTCTTTTTCTTCTTCTTCTTCTTCTTCTTCTTCTACTTCTTCTTCTTGCTCCCTTTAGGGGTTGCCACAGCAGATGTAAACTTGATATTCAGCATCTTTTGTCCAATATATCCACTATACTGCCTTCGTACATGTCCAGAGTATCAAATTTTTGCATCTTGTAATGAAGTATTTTAAGATTAAGCTGCTTCTATGTGTCAAGTGGACCTTAGAAGGTTCCATGTTTTCTTATCCTGCTTTCATATAATCTTTTAGACTTGTTGATGTACAAGTTCTCTTTTATTACACAATATTCTAACTGTAGATAGATAACTCTGTATTAGTAGTCTAGGATTACAGTCCTGCTTTGTCAAAGAGCATGCAGACTGCTGTCATGCTGTTTGCACTGTTGTCTTATCTACCTTTGCAAAGGTAAAACAAAACTCATAAAGATAACCTGGTTGTGTGCACCTTAGTTTATTTCACATTTCCACAACGCTTTGTCTTCAAACCACTTAACTTGAGTTGTTGCTTTCACATTTCTAATCTTGTCTATCCTGATCACCTCTTCTTCTTCACCTGTGTTGTGAACTGTCTGTTGCTTTGAATGGTACCTCAGGTATTTCAAATGGCTTCTGCTCCCTGTGCCTTCAGTATCTCCCCGTTATTCTAACACATGTATTCTGTCTTGGTTCTACTGACTTCCATTCCTCTTCTCTCCAGAGCATACCTCAACCTCTCCAGGATCTCTTCTATTTGCTCGTTACTCTCTTTACAAATTTCAAAGTCAACTGCAAACATTATAATCCATGGAGACTTCTGCCTGACCTCATCGGTCAGCCCGTCCATCACCATTGCAAACATGAACAGACTCAGAGCCGATGCCCTGTGTAATCTCACCCCAGCCTGAACACATCTGTCACTCCTACCACATGCCTCACCACAGACTAGCTTTGCTCATATGTGTCATGTGATTGTTGTGTTTTCTCTGTTTTCTTTGTGATATTGTAGGGTCTTCACCTTACAATAGAAAGCATTTTGAGGCAATAACAGTTGCCTCAAGGCAAGGTTGTTGTGATTTAGCGCTATATAAATAAAACCGAATTGAATTGAATGTCCTGCACCACCTTCACATACTTTTCTGCTACTCTTTACTTCTTTTCATGCAGTATCACATTCCTCTCTTTACACCCCATCAGATGTTTTCTTCTGACCGTAGCTATAGTTCTCCATCAACACTCTCAAAGGCATCGTCTAACGCTCCAAAATTGTTTTAAACAACTTGGTTAAAAAGCCCACTGATATGGCGATGTCTTTCCTAGATCGATGCTTCCTAAACATCACTCATTCGTACAGTCCCATTTCTATTCTTAATCATCATAATTTGCTGCACATCCTTTACTGCTTGATCTCTTAGGCTAGCCAGTCATTGCAAGTCCTTTTCTCCGTCCAGCCTCACATACAACTCACTATAAGCCTTTTCCTTTGCTCTTGACACGTCTCTCTTTGTGGTATGGAGACTCCCAGTACTCCTGTCTAAATTCTTCATTTCCCTGATTAGTTTCCATCACCACTTCAGCTCTTCTTTCCCAGCTGTACTTTCCTTCCATATTCTTCTCCTTAATACCTTACCCACCCAGCAACTCCTTATTACTCATGTTTCCTTCACCTACATGCCCACTGAAGTCTGCTTAAATGACTACTATCTCACTCCTAGGAATACTCCCTACCTCGTCATCCAAATTATTGCAAAAATCATCTTTCTTTTCCAACTGACACGTTGTGAGGCATATGCACTGACAACATTCAGCAACACCTCTTTGGTTTCCAGCTACAAAGTCCTGCTCTGTCTGAAAACCTCTTCATCTCCGCGACACTATTCACATACATTCCTTTTCAAGATTACCCCTACCCCATTACTATCTACACCATTGTTTAACAACTTGAATCCCGTTTACCTGGTGTGCTGGAGCCAACATTTACTAGACACTTTAACAGACATAGTCCCTATTCTAACCTACAGATCCCTCTTTTCATCTCTCTTGCTGCCTGCAAACACGTCTTCCACAATTTCATCTTCCTTTTGTCTTTGGACAATAATAGCACAGTTTGTAGGAAATCTCATTTTTTAATCCACATTTGGTTTGCCAAAGATTGCTATGTCGGACGCCCTTTGTTCTGACACAACCCTCCCTGATCCCTGGCTTGGGACCAGGGTTCTCCCAATAAGTGATTGTCTGCCAAAAATGATTACAGATGCTTGTATGTGTTATGGCTAATATTCTTATTGATAGTGGTAAATATGCTGCAATAAGCTGGGTTTATTAAGAAGAAATGACCCACTTTGCAAGTATTCCTATGAATCTGTATTACTGTCTCTACTCTGTGAACAATCTAGTCCTTTTTGGACAGATAAAGTATAATATAATAGTTGTTGCAATTTTTGTTGTCATCTTTCCCAGATCGCTCTTGAAGTAAGTAAATAAATAAATGTTTAAGCTTGGCATTAGGCATGGATAAATAAAAGATAAATAAACATCACTCTGCCATAAACTCAATGTATCTTCCACCTCGTGAACAGATTTTCCTTCTGACTCAAAATAACTTGATATCATTCACGAGAGACATGTTTGACAGATTAGGAGTCAACAAGTTATTAATAATCTTTTGGCACTCAGCACTAGGAGTACGCTGGTTTGTGACCCTACTCCATTGTTGTTGTATTTGTTTTTGACAGTTTCTCCAACACACAAATCAAATTTTTGGAATGGCAATGAGTTTTATAAATGTTAAGCTATAAGTAGAATAGAATAGAATAATCCTTTAATTGTCCCACAAGGGGACATTTGGTTGTAACAGCAGCCAAAAAGACGCATATACAAACAAACAGTACACAGGACACGGAACAGAAACATACACAATTTTTACATATTTACATCAAGGACAGTGGTTACTATATACAGAGAGTACTGTACAGTTATTAAATAAAATAAAATAACTACAGATAAGAGGCAAAGCAGGTTGTAGTGCGAATCGATTAATTAACTTATTGCAGTTACAGCGCAGATGTGAACATCTATGTTTGTTGGGAGCAGATCTGATTGTACAGTCTGACAGCTGCAGGGAGGAAGGACCTGCGGAAACGCTCCTTCATGCATCTAGGATGCAGCAGTCTGTCACTGAAGGAGCTCTGCAGTTCAGCAACATTAGTAACATGTTAGTATGTAACATGTAACATAGTAAGTAACATGTTAGTATGTGCATGTGTACAGAAAAGATCGACAAAAGTGTAATTGTTGAAATTCCTGTCTCTTAACTTCGTCTCTGTGGGCTCCAAACCAGACTTGAACGCTTTGCAGTTCAGCAGATCTCTGATTGGTTGAACTCCTTGAAAGCTAAGATTTTAACAAATGACAATGAGGGTAGACGAGTCACGTGGGTCGTAACGTCACGTCCGACTCAAACTACGGCGCGCGCTATCTTTAGTGTCACGCAGATTGAGTTACCGATCCGCTTGGTCGTTTCAGTCGTTAAAAACGTAAAATGACAACAATTCAAGACTCCTAGGAACGCTGGTGTGAATTTTTAACCTCTTAAAGAGAAGCTGGACTTGTATCTGCGGTAGGATGCCATACGTATTAACCATCGAAAACATTACCTGTTTCCGTTAGCAAAACATGTCAGTAAACAGACAAGCTAGCTGACGCTTTGCACTCAGTGAATTTATAACGCTAGCTTGTTATACAAAAGTACTGGTAACGTTGTCTTTGCAGGCAAGCCTGTCTGCATGACATTTAAGATATTTATAATACATTTAGGCAAAGCACAGTAACTGAAGTAGGGAAAGTTGTCTATTTGTAACTGATCAGAATGGATATAAAAGGAATTTCCTTGAATAGCTAAGAGGGCTTGGGAGTCATTTTCAGTGACTGAGTCAGTGATAACTTGGATGTAAAAAAAAATCTGTTCCCTGGACCGCAGTGCACGTCTTTCATCATGTCCCAGACCAACACTTCTCTCTTGGACGAGGTGGTGCAGTGGAGTCAGGAAACCTGTCGCCAGGAACTCAAGTCTGTCCTGCCAAAGCTCACTATATCCTCTCTAATGTTTGTTGTTTCATCCAAGTTTCAGCGTTGTAAGCTTATGGTTCATAGTGTCACCTGTCTCCATTACAACACTGGAAAAACAAAAACCCTGGAAAAATAACCAAAAATAACATTAATCCTGTAGCTGAAATGATAAAATAGGTAGGTCGGCATTATATTGGAAATCACCCTGTAATGCATTTTTTCCCCTTAACTGTGTTCACTCTTTGCATTGTCAGTCTGACAGCTGGGATGATCACATACGTGAGTTTCCTAATTACACACTTAATAATTACAAACTTTGGTATGACTTGCTGTTTAAGTATAATATGACACCTTTACAGGTATATTGAAGATAATTACAGACATGTTCCTCCCTCATATTGGTTTGCCAGACTTGGAGGATGAATGCTTCTCCAAGATCTTACCAAAGGTATCCTGATAATTGCATAATATGTGAATACCATCTATGGCTATGGTTAAAAAAAGTAGATACAGTACTCTTTTATTATCAGATTGTTGATACAAGTAACTATTTTCTTTTGAATAACTGCTGTATTTCCATATTTCTTCCTTAAAAATTTATTTCTTTAATCTTTTTGGAAAAAAAAAAATCTCAAATGTTTTCAGGCTGTGACGATGTTTGACAGCATGATGAAAGAAATCATGGATCAAGTCGGTGGACTTTCAAGTCAAAACACTGAACTTTGTGCCTTCCTGAGGAATATACTGCAGGTATTGCAACACAGTGCATTTGAAAATGGTACAGTGGAACCCATACAACTTTTTACATGCCGTTTAATATGCGATTATATTGTGACAAGATTATGTTCTCTTTTTCAGGCAATGATGCAGATAATTGATGCGCTATCCACTTGTGTGCATCATATTAGCTCATTGGAGGAAGCCCCTGACCTGGATTCTATCCGCTCGCTACCAGCTTGTATCCTAAAAATTCTGAAAGAAACGTTTCAGCACTGCAAGGTCAGAATATTTAGTTTGCTGGTAGCTGTTATCTTTATAAATCAGGTGTTCTGTGAAGTCACTCCATGTGTTTTAGTTTTATAACATTAATATTAATAACCAAGCTGACTATGTTTTAGTGGCTGCTGAGAATGTACTAAGTGGTTAATTACAGAAATGTTTATATTACAGTTATACACAGCTAAATGCTGATGCTAATCTGAGGAGTGCAATTAGGATTTTTATTATTTGTTTCAAACACAAAAGCTGTCAAATTTAAGTGGTTGAAAATAATTCTAAAGAACATTCTTAAGTTTTTCCTCATCTTGTTTACACCAAATGTGTCATCAGTGCAAGAAATTGACTGAAAACAGATTTGAAAAGCATCCCATCATACTGCAGCAAGAAATATAACCACTTAGCAATAGGGGTGGGTTTTGATGATCGATTTATCTATTAAAATTGATTCTGGCTTGGATAACGTGATATCGATTCATTACAATCCTGAATCGATTTTTAAATATAAATTTATTTTGCCCGAAACGCCAGAATCTCAGGTTAAACCTCACAAAATTTCTACAACCACCAAACAGCTTAAACAGTAAATGAGAGCAGGTACACGGATTCTGCACAAAGACGTAAACACAAAACGCGGACCCAACGCATCCGAATTTGTGAGATGTCGCCTTTCTCACCCGACGGCACTTACACGGACACGCCGTCGGGGCTGAAAGCCGACAGCTCACTGATTTTGAAGCGTCGGTGGGCGCTTTGTGTTTACGTCTTTTTTGCGCTCGATTCTGAAGCTGCAGGTTGTTCAAACAATATTGACTGAACCAGCAGCCAAAGACGATCCAAACTACGCTTCACATAAACATCGTCATGAATTCACTCTGACTTTTGCTGTTTTGCTTCCACCACGATAAAATCACACTTCATGTAGAGCTCTGTCTCTTTCGCTCTCTCAGGAACAGTTTCCCATCTAAAAATCTCTGTTTTTCACATTATTCGCTTACTTATTACCCACCAGTCTACGGTGTCAGCCGCTGTTTTTTGTTGTTGGTTTTTTTTTACTTGCTTCCGACAAGAAAGCCTCATTTCTGCTGTTCAATACTGAACAAATGTAAACTTTTTAAAATTATGCAAAATTGCAAAATGCTTAGCTGTGTCTCTGATCAAGCCTCTGTAACTTTGCTCTGCTTCACTTCATTTTTGACTGCACAATATTTTTAAGGTCATCTGCTATAAAAACCCAGACCAGGAAAACCGCCTTCATGTTTTTCTGTGTTTTATCCTCAGTTACTTTGACACTAAGGAATCTGCTGTGATGCTCACACCTTTGATAAAGTCTCACAAGTGTCAGCTTCCTTTTTATAGATATGAAAATATCGATATGTACTGATAAGTGATCAGAATTATGATATTTCTGACTGTCTGAGGCAAAATTTTCCCAATTCGAATCGAATCGTCGATCGAATCGATTCGGGACCTTGTGAATTGGAATTGAATCGATTTTGGAAATCAGTGACGATACCCAGCCCTACTTAGCAATGCAAAAGAACATAAAAGGAGTTACAGTTAATTTTAAATTGATTTATACCCCTAAAGAGCTTTATCTGAAGAAAACAGAATTGATCAAGCATATTCTGTCTGTTGTCCACAGGACAGTGAGGTGGTCTACTGTGGCCGTCTGTCCCTTGTGGCTGACTTGCTCCAAGGATTATTCAAGGAGGCCTATTCACTTCAAAAGGGCCTTTTAGAGCTGCTGGATAAGATCTGCCTTGACAACAGCGCCTCAGACGAGGACGTCTCTGATATTGTTACAGGTGTGTTCAGTTGTCTGTGCAGGTAAACATCACTGTGTGTTTCATATTTTCTCACTTTCTGTGCTCTTGAATCTTAATGCAATCTTCAGTTCATTTGACATATTTTTCATCTTCCTCAGTGATTCATAGTCTGCTGGATATCTGCTCTGTTATCTCCAACCTGGATGTAGCATTGCATGCAAACACGTGGAAGTTCCTCATCAAGTTAGTGCAATCAGTGTCATTAAACTTTACAGTTAACTCGATGAATTTTTAGTTTTAAGAGTTGGGCGAGTTTATTGGTTGTTATAACTATTTGAACGGGCTGTTATTTTGTTCAGAACGAGTCTGAAGTACCAGTCATTGGTTGAGGAGCATCTACATCACAGTGAAATCAGCAACAGCCTTGTTGACAACCTGCTGACATCCTTCCACAACTGTGTGGAGCTGGCTGAACAGATTAAACATGCTGGCCTACAGGTAGAAAACCTCTAATTATAAACATATGTATATTGCAATTCTCTCTCTCTTTCTCTGTTTACCTCTAAAATAATGTCAGTTTGTATTATATGCAAAAATTGCAGCTCAGCATATTTGTGTCTTTAGTGACTTGATGCCAACTGGGGTCACAACAATGACAGAGCAAATGCTGAGTGTTTCCTGTGCTGTAACCCTTTGTACTTAAAGAAGGACTTCGGCTTCTTTATAAAAGTGTAGGGTCACCCCGGGGACCTTTTGTATTGATGCTGTTCTCTTTTTATAGGAGGCCACCCAAAGTCCAGAATACAAGCTGTTCCAAAAAAGTGCAAAGATGTGCAGATTTTTTGCCAACACTTTGATTCATTACATAAAGGTAGTTAAAATTAGGATTTATTTCAGGTGTTTTTTACAGCATAAAAACGTTGGGCTGTCTTGTATCTTATCTCTAAAACACATTTCTTCTTTTTATCCTTTTAACAGGAGTTCAAATTTTTTCTAACAAAATCTTGTAGCTGCTTCCACCAGCTCTACCTCCAGATCACGAGGTATCGGTTGTTTACATGTCATTTAAAAAAATAAATGGATACAAGTCACAATTTCTTTTAGTTTATGTTTAATACTGATTATAACAATGTGGCTGGTGTCTTTCAGTAAATTCCCTCCCAGCTTGTGCACTCCAGAACTGCCCATAGCTTTGTCTCAGGAGCTAAATGCAGCAGCTCTTGTTCCCATGGATGCCTTCCTGCTTCAGCTGTTGCCTTTAAGACCTTTTGCTGAAGCTGTCCTCCAGCAAGACCTGCGTAAGTGAAAGGTTTATCTTCTTGGACATTTTCATGATACAGTAGTGACTTTTTAAACTCAACAATTACAGTTTGTGCACTAATGACATTCCACTGGCATATGACACATAGTATGCTGCTCAAAAAAGGTCGTAGGAACACTTTTTAATCACGTTATACCATCAAGTCACTTAAATCTCTGTGATATTGATATGGTCAGTTAAGAAGTGGATTGTTGAATCAGTTTCAGCTGCTTTGATGTTAATGAAATTAACAGAGGTGCGCAGAAACAGACTTCACGAGGGTGGCCCGAGGGCCCAGTGTCACCACGGTTGCTTTCAAAACTTTAACTGAAAGCTGACCTTTGTTACATTTGTATTTTGTTGTGATGTCGCTATAATGTTTGTAGATGCTGACTGTTAGAGATTGTACAAAATACTGTCTGCAGGTTTAAGTCCTGAACATGAGCTTCCGCACTGTCTGTTGCTGGTGAGCGTCATGGGACAGCTGGCCGGCCAACCTGAGGAGGTGCTGCAGCTTTGGTATGCAGGGAATCAGTTTTCAGAAGAAAATATCAGGTAATAATGGTTTTAGATGATTTAATGAACAGTAAAAACTTTAAAACACTTGTTTTATTGAAGGACTTATTAGTAAAATTTACTAGTTTTATGAGTTATTAATATTGATCTATTATTGACTTGTTTGGTTCACAAAGTTAATTGTACTTTTCATGTTTTCACAGTGCAATTAAATGCAACTCCAGTGTAGCTGAATAATTATGAATATCAATTTAGCCTTTATGGTTTTACTATCAATTTATTTTTAATATGCAGTAATGTTATAATAATTACATCTCACATGGAGCAATCTCTTTTCAGCTGTTAGGAACAAATGTATTAGTTAGCAGCCTTGGAAAAGGTCACATTTACGTGTGCTGAATTTAAAGTAGAAAATAGCTTCTTTTGTTGTGTAGTGTTTTTATGTCCTTCAGTGTGTCATCTTTGTCCCTAGGCTTCCTCTCTTCCAGGCCATCTTTACTAGTTTCCGGCGTTGCTATACTGAGCGTAAGGTCCCAGTGCTGTTGCCTGGGGTGATGTTGAAGGGTCAGGCACAAGTCCAAGTCACTCTGCATCAACACATCTGTGTGCACCTCTGTGCCAGTGTGGCTTGGCTTCCACCTGAATACTTCCGTGTACTGGTGAGGTCAACACAACAACACACTGTTTTAAGCAATACTAGCATAATCTCTCTTATACTGTTCCACTTAATGCATAAGGGACACTTTAAAACTGTTAATCTGATGTAATGTTTCATTTGTTGTAGACTGTAAATGTGAAGACCACAAGGTAGCATACAGTCATGGGAAAATAAATTACATTATTTGTTAATGATATGGTGTGACATATCAGGAAGTAATAATAATAATAATTAAAAGCTAGTACTTAACAGGTTTAAAAATGAAATACCTGAGATGAACAGCACGTGACATTACACCACAGCCGTGCAGTCTGGCAAAGCAAACCCAACTCATCACTCCTTCACTTGTGCCTGACAGCTGGTGTGAAGTGAGAGTGCTGTGATGCTGTGTTTGGTTTTTACAAAATGTGGTGCTTTCCATTATGATCAAACATCTCCATTTGGTTTGGCTTGTCTGTCCAATGCACAGTTTTTCAGAAGTCTTATGATTTGTTCAGGTGCTGTTTTCCAAACCGAAGCCATACTGCAATGTTCTTTTAAGAGAGACAATTTCTCAATATTAAACAAACTTGCTTAGTACATACTTGTTCAGCTCTTTTGTAACTGTATTGCTGTGAACTTTAAAATGTAACGTGCCGACTGAGGTTTGAAGAGTTAATTGAATGTAAATTCCGTGTTCTCCAGTAGTCCACAGCACAGCACCATCTTCCTGTATTTACTTTTGTTGCTCCCGCCCCAGATACATCTGGCCAATGAGCGGTGGGAGCATTCTCATGTGGTTTGTAGTGATGCATTTTGGTTCGTGTGTGTTTGTGTGTGTGTGTGTGTGT